GTCATATTGCTTTGCATGATCATAAGATAGCTAGCATGATATTTTCATGGTTTGTCCGTTTTTTGATATCTTTGCTATGCTAGATCATTGCACATCCTGGTACACTGCCAGAGGCATTCATATAGAGTCATACTTTGTTCTAGATATCGAGTTGTAATATTGAGTTTTAAGTAAATAAAAGTGTGATGATCATCATTATTAGAGCATTGTCCCAGTGAGGAAAGGATGACGGAGACTATGATTCCCCACAAATCGGGATGAGACTTCAGATGAAAAAAAGAGGCCAAAAAAGAGAGAGCCAAAAAAATGATGAGAGAAAAAGAGAGAAGGGGAAATGCTACTATCCTTTTACCACACTTGTGCTTCAAAGTAGCACCATGTTCTTCATATAGAGAGTCTTGGACTATCACTTTCATGTACTAGTGGGAATTTTCATTATAGAACTTGGCTTGTATATTCCGATGATGCGCTTCCTCAAATGCCCGAGGTCTTCATGAGCAAGAAAGTTGGATGCACACCCACTTAGTTTTCAGTTTGAGCTTTCATACACTTATAGCTCTTAGTGCATTCGTTGCATGGCAATCCCTACTCCTCGCATTGACATCATTTGATGGGCATCTCCATAACCCCATTGATTAGCCGCGTCGATGTGAGACTTTCTCCTTTTTTGTCTTCTCCACACAACCTCCACCATCATATTCCATTCCACCTATAGTGCTATATCCATGGCTCACGCTCATGTATTGCATGCATGAAAGCTGAAAAGGCTTGAGAACATTAAAAGTATGAAACAATTGCTTGACTTATCATCGGGGTTGTGCATGATGAAGTACTTTGTGTGATGAAGATGGAGCATAGCCAGACTATATGATTTGTTAGGGATAACTTTCTTTGGCCATGTTATTTTGAGAAGACATGATTGCTTCATTAGTATGATTGAAGTATTATTGTCTTAATGTCAAATGATAGACTATTGCTTTGAATCACTCGTGTCTTAATATTCATTCCATGATTAGATTATATGGTAAGGTTATGCTAGGTAGCATTCCACATCAAAAATTATCTTTTTTATCATTTACATACTCAAGGACGAGAAGGAATTAAGCTTGGGGATGCTAATACGTCTCCGTCGTATCTATAATTTTTGATTGTTTCATGCCAATATTCTACAACTTTCATATACTTTTGGCAATTTTTTATACTATTTTTGGGACTAACATATTGATCCAGTACCTAGTGCCAGTTCCTATTTGTTACATGTTTTTTGTTTCACAGAATATCCATACCAAACGAAGTCCAAATGCGATAAAAACTTACGGAGATTTTTTGGAATATATGTGACTTTGGGGAATTGGAATCAACGCGAGAAGATGCCCGAGGGGCCCACAAGTCCTGGAGGCGCGCCCCTACCCTGGGCGCGTCTAGGGGGATTGTGGCCACCCCATAAGGTGGTTGGTGCCCTTCTTTAGCCGCAAGAAATATAATATCCAGATAGAAATCGTGTTAAAATTTCAGCCCAATCGGAGTTATGGATCTCCGGGAATTTAAGAAACGGTGAAAGGCCATAATCTGGGAACGCAGAAAGAGAAGGAAACATAGAGAGAGAGAGAGAGAGAGAGATCCAATCTCGGAGGGGATCTCGCCCCTCCACCGCCATGGAGGACATGGACCAGAGGGTAAACCCTTCTCCCATCTAGGGGGAAGGCCAAGGAAGAAGAAGAAGGAGGGGGCTCTCTCCCTCTCTCCCGGTGGCACCAGAACGCCACTGGGGCCATCATCGTGACGACGATCTACACAAACAACTTCGCCGCTGTCATCACCAACTCTCTCCCCCTCTATGAAGTGGTGTAACACCTCTTCTCTCCGCTGTAATTTCTACTTAAACATGGTGCTCAACGCTATATATTATTTCCCAATGATGTATGGCTATCCTATGATGTTTGAGTAGATCTGTTTTGTCCTATGGGTTGATTGATGACCGTGATTGGTTTGAGTTGCATGTTTTATTATTGGTGCTGTCCTATGTTGCTCTCCATGTCACACAACAGTGAGGGATCCCCGCTGTAGGGTGTTGCAATATGTTCATAATTCGCTTATAGTGGGTTGCTAGAGTGACAGAGGCTTAAACACGAGTAAGGGGGTGTTGCGTATGGGAGTAAAGAGGACTTGATACCTTATAATGCTATGATTGGGTTTTAAATTAATGATCTTTAGTAGTTTCAGATACTTGCTAGAGTTCCAATCATAAGTGCATATGATCCAAGTAGAGAAAGTATGTTAGGTTATGCCTCTCCCTGATATAAAATTGGAATAATTATTACCGGTCTAGTTATCGATTGCCTAGGGACAAATAACTTTGTTACGTGACAAAAAGCTCTCTTCTAAAACTAATTTAATTGTTTCTTTATCTAAAAAAACCCCATCTTTTATTTATGTGTTCTTTATTATCTTACAAACCTATCCCTTCACACCTACAAAGTACTTCTAGTTTCATACTTGTTCCAGGTAAAGCGAACATTAAGCGTGCGTAGAGTTGTATCGGTGGTCGATAGAACTTGAGGGAATATTTGTTCTACCTTTAGCTCCTCATTGGATTCAACACTCTTACTTATCGAAAGAGGCTACAATTGATCCCCTATACTTGTTGGTTATCATGGGTTTGTGCCTCCCCATAGAAGCAGGTGAGTCTCCAAGGATCACCACCTAAATCACTCACTTTCACATCAATATGATAACATGAGTAACCCAAATTGTCTATCTTTATTTCGTTATTCCAAAACAAAGCCAAACCTCCGCTCCTACCGGAGGAGTCAATAGCAAAAGAATAATCAAAATCCAGAGTACTCTTTAAATTTTCAGCTCTAGCACCACTAATTTGGGTTTCTACAATACAAAGTACTCTAGGGGGAAACTTTTGTGCGAGTTCGCGAAGCTCTTGAATTGTCAAGGCATTGCCAATCCCGCAACAATTCCAACACAAAAGACTCATGGCGCCCATTTTGCTTCATTGTTTTTCCCCGCTGCTAGGGTCTTCCTCAACACTGTATTGCCCTACTTCTCGGTCTGCTGGGTAGTCCGGGATCTCTTGGGATCTTGCTTCGGCGGGGGGCTCAGTGGAGTTGCACCCCTGCTTGTCTTAGTTGCTAAGACCAGCTCCATCCCAGTGGTGACCATTGCGGTAATGGGATCCATGGACTGTTCTGAAGAGCGCTTGCGGCTGGCTTCAGACACCTCCATATTAATGACATGTTGATCCTGCACTTCATCCTTTCTCTCCTTCGAGCTGCCACCGGTACTAACATCCTGAGACCTAGGGTTCTGGTTTCTGTTTCAGCGACGGGTGCCCCATGCAGTAGTCGCAGGTGCTCGCAAGTTTTTGAAGGTCAACACTAAGGGGGGGGGGTGAACTCCATCCCTGTGTTCCTTGAACTAATGTCCCATCATACCGCAGACCTAGCACCAATCGGGTAGACGCTCATACTTGATCGTGAAGATCTCCCTCTTTTCTCCACGGATCAGCGAGTTTGCCTTTTTGAGAGGATTTCTCACGTCAAGTCAAACCCTAACCCTATAGAAGTTACCTTCAAAATGAAAAGAAGATGGCTCCGAGTCCACAAACTCGCCAATCTTAGCAGCCAACGCCTTCACTTTCCCATAAAAACCAATTGGAAGGTCGATGGTGTGAACCCATATCTCAAATTTGTATAGCTCTATCTCCGATGGCTTAGTGTATCCATCATATGGGGCGATAATCACCGGATTGCCTCTGAAGTGCCAGGGACCCCCTTAGGTAACTCTCTCCCAATCGCTCAGACAATTGAATTGCATCTGGAAGAGGTTCTCCTCCAAGGTTTTGATTTTGACCGGCCTAGCAAGCTCCCAGGCCGTCCTCATATTGTGAAAGAACCAGTAGGTGCTAAACCCTTTGTCCATGTGGACTCTGGCCAAGATCATCCAGCGGAGGTCCTCCTCTGCCGGGGCGTCATCTTCCTCGAAAACAACGTCATCGAGGTCGTCTTCCTTGAGGGCCAACTCCTTCATTAGATCCTCCAGCTTTCCCTTCCCCTTGGATCCCGAAGCCGATGATGCTCCCTGGTTCGCCATAAGATTGTCAAACGAAAAATAGACCGATCTCCCCAGGTTTAGCGACCAGCGAAGATAAAGAACCCTAATCTCCCAGGGTGAGGAGACCGAACCAAGACGGGGGAAGCAGTCCGGGTCTGCCCCGTGATCGGCCCAGAAATGGATACTCAACCCAGCGCAGGAGAAGGAAGACGGGTCTCAACGATCGCCGACGGCGACGAGAGGAACGATAACCCTAGCGAGGGGGAAAGATATGACGGGAAAAAGTGGTAGGTGCGCTAGGGTTACAGGGAAAGTCAATTTACATGGCAGCTCGACACGGAGATTGCGCTCAGGTGCTTCAGATTTGCTACAAACTAATGCTGGTCGGGCTGGGCTAGGCTAATTTCGGGCTGAAAATTGAAGCCCGAGCCCGATCCAAATATGACACCAAGCAGCAAATCAAAGCCCAACCCCGGCCCTGCTGCCCATGCCCAGGTACTGCGCTAGGAAAAAAAAACTACGGGAAGGAGCATATTGGCGTTGCTTCGCGGCGCCACCGTTACCCTTGAGTCGTGTTCCTCCCTTATCCATCCCAACCCAAAGATATATGTGGACGCCACTCTGGAGCGCGTGTCCAAATTAATACTCCCAGCAAGAGCATCATCATCCCTGGTTACCGCAGCGTGGTCTGGGGCTATACGATTCTCTGGCTCCTGCTTGTTGCGAATCGGATTCTGCAAAGAAGAGGGGTTGACTGTATTCCGGCCTTCCGGGAGTTCGAAAATTCTTGGTTTCTTGATGTGTATACTGCTACCTTGCAATGAAAACGGGTGGCAAGAAGGGAATTCTGTGAGGCTGTGAGCACATGGTTGCCAGAGGTGCGTCCGCCCCCGTTCTGTAGCCCGGAAGATGTGGTCTCCGTTGCATGACCTTTAATGAGTTGCTACGTGGTCAGCTCTAGCGGCGTTGCGATCTGGTTCGCCGTAGAGGAGAGGATCGGGCACCGGAGGTTTTGCGCATGCAAGATGTTCGATGTCGGTCCCCAGAGGAGAAGGGTGGGGAGGCGCCTGGTGGGTTTTGCCAAGAAGAGGAGGCGTTCCAAGAGGCAGCAGCCATGGTGGAAGGCGTGGTTCTCTGATTGGAACGATGAGGAAGAGAGCCTCGCCGGCTGGAGGGAGGATGATGAATTGCTCCAGCAGGTTGTTAGCAACGAAGACCTGTCGGAGGATGACAAGTTTCAGACGTGGAAGAGCAAGGCAGAGGCGATTGTCGACCTGCGGGAAGCCCAGCAGGGTGCCGAAAATGCAGAAGGGCGGTCATGGGAGGATTGGATAGGTTGGGGCAGCACGTCCGGCGATGGTGATTGGGGCGGGGGTGGGAGCTTGTCGGACCAGATAACTGATGATCCGACGGAGATAGTGAGGGACAAGGGCATCGCTGAAGCTTTTAGGGACTCTAATGATGAAGATTACAACGACATGTTGTTTGAGGACCGGGTTTTTCTATACGCTTCGACGAAATCGGTACTTCTAGCACTAGTTACAAGATATAATTTTCTCATCATCTTTCCTACCAATTGTGCACCGCTTTCCAATGCGGTCTACTATTATACCTAGTACTATAACAATAACTCAAACCTTATTACCGTGCAACATTGCTCAAGATCCTTTTCGATGAAGTCATACAGATGTTGGGGAACTGGATCTAACAAGAAAATTGTACTCTGCAGGCCAAATTCCTAGCATTGTTGATCGTTGTTCCATGGGTGTTGGATCTTCTAGTACATGACTATGTTATGATGCCATTTCTAGACAGGTAAGTCATCTTACTGCTATGGCGTTCCATATCTTCCCTTTCCTCTGTTTTCTTTTTTGTTGAAAGAATCGATTATGCTGGTCATTGTACAATAACAGGTATGTCGAGAAGGTACCACTCGCCGCTGAAATGCTTGATGTAAGACGCAGCCAGAAGATTCAGATGATAAAGGACCTAAATATTGAGAAAGCAAGATTCCGTTTTGAAGTAGAGATTGGTAAATCTCCTCCACTTTCCGATGAGGAGTTCTGGTCAGAGTTGCGGGAAAAAGCGTGAGGCTATTATTCTTTCTTGCCAAGTTGTTGCTTATATTAGTGCCCTTGCAATTTTGACATGAACATTCATCTTCTCCTCTGTGAAAATGATAGTCAGGAACATCGTTTTGCGGCCCGATAAATTTATCTGGTTAACTGTAACGGGTCTGCTCTGTTACTTTAACAGGGTAGAGCTGAGGGATGAATGGAGATTAGAAAACCGACAAGCATTTGCAAATATCTGGTCTGATATGGTTTATGGGGTTGCCCTATTCCTTCTTATGTACTTTAACCAGAGTAAAGTAAGTACATACATCATATAAGCAGCTTCTTATTTTTTTGATTATGTTTAATTGTGAAAGTGTGCCATTAAGTTCGTATAGCATTCCTCTTGATGGCGTGTACCATGTGGATCTGTGTTTTTTTTTTCTCTGTAAAGTAAATCAGAAGTCATCAAAATTGCTGCGCTATTAGGCCTAGCGAATAACTAATTAGCTTTGGCGGTTAAGACTAATGGTGTGTCAAATATTCGAAGAGGTGAACTGATCTAAAGTTTTTCCTGATCTGTTCATACTTGATAATGTTTTGTTTTAAGGTAGTGTCGTATTAACATCACCTCAATTTCAATGATACCTTTTATTTTACTATCATCAGTAAAAGTGTGCGGGTGTCTGTAAAACGTGATGGAAGCGTCTCAACCCCCAACAGGGAGCCCACGTTGTGTTATATTGATCGAGCGAGAGAGAGCCTCTCAAGAGATACAGGAGGGTTCGGTTGGCAAACAACCGTACAGAGATCTTACAGAGAGAAATAGAGATAAGAAGTTAAAACAGAAAATATCATCATGAAGGTATTGACAAACTTTATTTACTGCAAAGGAAATATCAGGCCTGGTGAGAGTCAAGTACTGAAGTGCACCTACCAAACTTCTGGACTTAGTACCATCCTCTTGATTCAAGAGTTCTCCTTCAGCAAGTGAGAGCTTCTCTGAACTGGACAAGGGTGTTGGAGAGGGTTTACAACCCTGTAAGACAACTCTGCTCAAAAGGTCAGTGGCATATTTTTCCTGAGAGAGATGAAGGCCACCTTCTCTATTTCTCTTAACCTCAATACCAAGAAAGAAATGCAAGTCACCTAGATCCTTGAGAGCAAATTCTGAGTTCAAATCTGATCAAGAGAGCTTTGACTGCTTCATTTGACGAGCTTGTGACAATGATATCATTAACATAGATAGGTACAAAAATTGAAGTATTTGACTTATTGTAAATGAACAGAGATTTATCAGATTTTGAAGGAGTGAAGCCAAGTTGTTGCAACTTCGCACTTAGGCGAGAATACCATGCTCTGGGAGCTTGTTTCAGTCCATAAAGAGATCTGTCAAGCCTGCATATGTGAGACAGTTTGTTTTTATCTACAAACCCAGGAGGTTGCTTCATATATACTTCCTCTTCCAGAACACCATGAAGGAACGCATTCTGCACATCTAGCTGTCTGAGACTCCATCCTCTGGACACAGCAATAGATAGAACAAGACGAATAGTAGCAGCCTTAACAACAGGACTGAAAGTGTCTTCATAATCTATGCCATACCTCTGTTTGAAACCTTTAGCCACAAGCCTGGCTTTATATCAATCTATCGTACCATCAGACCTTCTTTTTATCCTGAAAACCCACTTGCAATCAATCACATTTTTACCTTGCTGTGAGGGAACTAAATGCCACGTGTTATTTCCCTGAAGAGCCTGATACTCATCCTCCATAGATTGCTTCCAATTTGGACCAGTGAGGGCCTCCTGATATGTACGGGGTTCTCCCGTGGAAGCAGCCAAACCATATTTAATTTTGTAATTTGTAGGCTGAATAACACCTGCTCGAAGACATGTGTATGGTGGTGTAGCAGCGCATGGCTGCGCAGAAGATCCGAGCCCTGCTGCGGAAGAATCAGCGGCAGCAGCTTCCTCGGACGAAGCTGCGGATCCCAAAGAAACATCGCCCACACCCGCCGGATCCTCTGTGGCCGAGGACATCACAGAGGATTCGAGAGACGGTGCAGATGGTCTGGGCGCTGCAGGCGAAGCCGACTCGGATCGGGTGCCCACACGTGACAGGGACGGGGCCCGCCGGGTGTAAACCGGTGGCTCGGGCGGGAAGCGCGTGGTCGACGGGGCCCGCAGGACCGGTTGGTGGAGCGCACCCGCAGGATCGGTGCCAGCCGAGGAGCGACATGTGGCCGGTGGCGGTTGGTGCGGAGCAGACGTCGCCATGCGCCCAGTGGCTGGCGGGCGAGTGGCGTGGGTCGGAGGAGGGCGCCTGACTAGACGACACCTGTTGGGAAGTGGATCCCGAAGCAGATCCTGCCGGCTTTGACGCGGTCAGGGCCGCGTATCCCGAAGGCGATCGCGGCAGCTCTAGCGTGACAGCTACCGGTGCAACACCGTTTTTGTCCCAAATTGCACCATTATGACCACCATTTTCAGCGGTGTTTGCACCTGTATCATCAGACTCAAAAGGCGGATTAGAAGCATTAGTCAATATTTGGATCATTACAATCATCACTACCCACATGATCAACTCCAGAGAGATGAGAAGGAAGGAGAAGAATCTCCTTGCGAAGGAGAGCACCGACATTGGGATGAAGTTTGGAAAAAGGAAACTGAGTTTCAACGAACACAACATCATGAGAGATATACACACGGCCAGAGGAAACATCAAGGCACTTAACACCCTTGTGTTGTGCACTGTAACCAAGGAAGACACATTGTTGAGATCGAAACATAAGCTTGCGAGAATTGTAAGGATGAAGTTTTGACCAACAAGCACAACCAAAAACACGAAGTGTAGTATAATTAGGTATGACCTGTAGAAGGCGTTCAGTGGGAGTTTCATTGGCTACGGTGTGACTAGGCCACATATTGATAAGATGAGCGGCCGTAAGAAACACTTTGTCCCAAAATTTTAAAGGCATGGAAGCTGAAGCTAGAACCTAGAAGGGCAAGACCTACTTCAACAATGTGACGATGTGTTCCTCTCTGCAGAACCGTTTTGTTGATGAGCATGGAGGCAAGACACGTGATGAGAATACCTATCTTTTGAAAAAAAGAATTTAGCTTCTCATATTCACCACCCCAGTCCGATTGCGGCAATGATTTTGCTATCAAACTTACGTTCAACAAGAGCTTGAAAGTTATGAAAGACTTGGAACACTCCAGAACGTGTTTTAAGAAGGTATATCCATGTGTACTTGCTATAATCATCAACAAAACTTACATAATAAGAATGCCCACCAACAGAAGTGGGCGCTGGACCCCAAACATTAGAAAAAATAAGTTGCAATGGTTTGGTAGACACACTAGTAGAAATAGGATATGCCAATTGATGACTTTTTGCTCTTTGGCATGAATCACAAATAGTTTCTGAATTTCCCTCACCAACAACTACGAGTTTATTTTTGCTAAGAATTTGATGAACGGTAGCAAACAAGGGATGGCCTAAACAGTTGTGCCACCTTTCAGCAGGATGCTTGATGGCACCAGACTTGTTTATTGAGTTGAATATACTGAGGAAGCAATGCATAGAGCCCTTGCACACATGTGCCCCTATGGAGAACTTTCTTCGTGACCTGATCCTTGATCAAAAGGAAAAAGGGGTGAAACTCAAGAAAGACATTATTATCAAGGGCAATACGATGAACGGAAAGAAGTGTTTTTGAAGCATTAGGAACATGCAAGATTCCGTTAAGAACTAGACTTTTATGTGGGGTTTCAATAATTGATTGACCAATATGACTAATCTCCATACATGCACCATTGGCTGAGGTGTAGATCTGATCATGGCCACGGTATTTTTCATGCAGTCACCTTCTTGAGTTCACCGGTGATATGATTTGTAGCGCCCATGTCTCAATACCAATTGCTATCGACACCATAAGAAGCATCAGCTGTAGCTGCGGTTTTTTTCTTTTGGGAATTGTCATCGGCATAACGCCAATCACAGTCTTTGGCAAGGTGGTTAGTTTTTTTACAAATTTGGCACCTGCCTTCGTACCCCTGAAAGTTATTGCACCCCCTGGTGTTGTTGTAGGAGGGGTGCCTAGGGTTGTAGCTGCCGCCAGAGTTACCCTGGGGATGGCAGCCGCCGCCACCCCCATTGTGATGACCACCACCACTGTTGTGGTGATAGCCGCCACCGTGACCACCATTGGGGCCGCCGCCACCAGAGTAGCCACCATTAGGGTTGTTGTAGCCGCCGCCAGATCGTGATCCGCCGCCACCGCCTCCCTTCTACTGGCCGTGAAAGCCCTTGGGAGTTCCTTGGCGGCCGCCGCGGGAAGCTGCGTTTCCTGAAGATTTGAAGCTGGAGCACCTGTCCCGTGGAACATCTCGACTCTCTGATCGAAGTTGGCCACCATGGAGAACAAGATCTCGACGGTGATCGGCTCGGTGCGGATGTCCAAGGCAGAGATGATGGGTTGATACTCCATATCAAGCCCAGCCACGATGAAGGAAACGAGCTCATCCTCCCGGATTGGCTTGCCCGCCGCCGTGAGTTTGTCGGAGGGAGCACGCATGGCGCCAAAGTATGCTGCTGCCGACTGGTTGCCCTTCTGTGCGTTGGTGAGGGAGGCACGGATGTTGTTGACGCTTGAGAGGGAGACGGCTGAGAACATGGTGCTCAACATCGTCCAGATGGCATGCGAGGTTTCCATCGATGCGACTTGAACGAGCACCTCTTTGGAGAGATTGCAAAGGAGGTACACGATGATTTGCTGATCCTGGACGAGCCATGGGGCATAGGCAGGGCTCGGGATCACCTGGTCCTTGCCCTCTTTATCTTTTGTGGTGATGGTTTTGGGAGGCTCCTCTAGGATTTGATCTATATAGCCATACAAGCCAGCGCCCATTATTTGGGATCCCGCTTGAGCTCACCAGAGAACATAGTTCGTCCGGGAGAGTGGCTCGGAGGTGTTGTAGTTGAGGCCGGAGGTGATGGGGGCGGCAGAGGTTGACATGGCGGAAGGTGGGTGGAGGGAGATCGAAGGAGGCTAGCTAGATGTGATGGAAGGGCCCGCTCTGTATACCATGTTGAATTCATGCTCCAGCCAACTCATCCAAAAGTCCGAACTGATGGAGGGAGACGGGCAATATATTTCAACAAGACGCTTCCATCACGTTTTACATGGTATCAGAGCCAAGAGGTCTTGAGTTCAAGACCGTGCCAATGCAGTATTAGAAACAAATATACTGCGGCCTACATAAAACCCATGTCTAAGGACTAAATAAGCCTAGACGTGAGGGGGGTGTTGAAATATATTGCCCGTCTTCCTCCATCAGTTCAGACTTTTGGATGAGTTGGCCGGAGCATAAATTCAATAGTGCCACGTTTTCTGTGCATGATAATGGCTTGTTTTTTCTCCCCCTAATAATAGGTAAGTTATCTTGTTATCAATTGTCATGCATCTTGCTCTTACTGTCGCCTATGCTTCCAGGTTGCAATAATAAAGTTCACAGGATATAAGTTGCTAAACAATATCTCAGACAGTGGGAAGGCTTTTCTTATCATTTTAGTGTCAGATATCCTTCTAGGGTAAGTTCTATCAATTCATTTCTGAAATGTGTCTGTATTTGTCTTTTAGTGTCATGATATATTTATCTCTAGTTCCCTGAATTTTCCATTTAGAACAATGCATTTATAGTTACAAGTGATCCTAGAAATAGAACTGAGTAAACATCATGTTGACTTTAGCTTTAGTGTTCTTGTTATTTCTCTCGGTGATGAAGTAAATTGTTCATTTAAAAAAAATAGAAGTGACCGAAGTGCGCATAAGATTTTTTTCGTTCTTTCCTGCCTTCTATGAGACGTTTATAGCTTATTTTGTGTCAGAATCTTAATAAACCAACGAGTTAGGATATTTAATCTTCTTTACAATCTGGTTAGGAAATATTGAATTTTACATACCTTTTAGTTTCATCTAACTGCAGAACTAGGTTATTTTGTGCCTTAGAAGCTGATTAACACAGAGGTATCTGAACTGCTGTGAGAAAAACGGGAACCCTACCTGTACGAGTTTGTATTTATGCTTCATGTGACATATTTCCACATTTAACAGCTAACATGTAGTTCTGTAAGTCTTCTTATGTTCTGTTATTTTTATCATGTGCATGTAAACGAGGGCTACTATTATTTTGTTTTACCATCTGTCCTTGTTTAATTACCGCCTGTGATCTTGTCGACTATATGAACAGCATCTAGCTGCAATATCACAGGTACCATTCAGAGGCAGGTTGGCATTCATTAGTGGAAATTATTCTTGACCACTATGGACTGGAAACCGATCAAGCTGCAGTCACCTTTTTCGTTTGTCTGGTTCCAGTTGCCCTGGACGTATTTATAAAGTTTTGGGTAGGTCTACTCTCTACCTTAAAGTCAAGCTACAAGGGACATGCCACTATATTTAATAACATAAAGAAAACCATATTTGCTGTTAGAACTCATAATAATTTTGATAGTTCTTTTCATAATAAAACTTGTACGAGATGTTTGAACCAATATGCTTCAGACTTTCCTTCATTCCACATTTCAGCAACTCCGACACTAACACATCAAATTGCATTAAATTTAATATTCTTGTTAAGCTCCAACATTTAGTAGCTACATCTTTTGGATGATGCAATGCAACTTCATTTTCCTGAAACTACTCTGTACAAGTGTCACTAACAATTCACATTGTAATGTACAAGTACCAATGGCTCACAAGTCATAATTAGGAGTACCTGTTCGCTGGATTAGATCGGCATACTTAGTTTAGTTTCCATATTTTGCAGGTGTACAAATACCTTCCAAGATTATCACCTAGTGTGGGAAACATCTTGGATGAAATAAGGCGTCACTAGGAATTCTTTCCATCAGGAATTTTAGTTCCTTCCTTTAGGAAATTGCTAGTAGAATTTCACAATCCAGGTATGTATTGACTTGCATGTACTGTTGGCTCCTACTTGTGTTGCTGCCAATGTTTGATAAATAGTGAAAAAATTACCTGTGACTGATATGGTTATTCATTCACCCTTCAAATATATTTTTTGGTGAAAGCCCTTAAATTATATTGAAGCTGGTTTCTGCAGTATGCCGTTACCAATTATTCTGATGAGAAAATTAATAATAGCTGGTAAATTGCAAGTGTAATTTAACGCAACTCTTTGTGATGGTGTATTCAAGCTATTTATACTATTTCTTGATTCTTGTTCAGGTGATTGAAACTTCAAATGTTCCAATCTTTTTATAAATGAAGTAAAAATGCCTAAATTCCAAACAATTGTAAACAAGTCTAATACGTGGCAAATAGTAGGGGTGGCCCGATCTTAATGAATTGGAAGTGAATTTGAGAAAGAACACGAGATGTATGCCAGCCCAAAGATCTCATCCTCTGACATACATTCACTTGAACACAAGAATACCAAACCAACTCTTTATTCCTGATGTTACAATAATAGGGAGGTGGCTGAAAAGGCAGACTTAGTACATCAGCATCTATCACCAGTCTCAACTATATGACATGCTTACGCTCAGCTACACCGTTTTGCTGATGTGTATGAGGACA